TCGAGCTGACTCTGCCGCAGACCAAGAAGAAGAGGAAGAAGAAGACGTCGATGATGCTGATGAAGCAGCAACAGTCGAACAGGCACGCGTGCAAGGACACGGAGAGGCTGTTGCGCGTCCTCAGCGTGAACAATGTGGACCAAGATAATAGGTACAACGTCACACGGTGTTCTGTCATGTAGAGACTCACCTAGACCAGCTGGAGACTGGTGCTCGGTGGAGGTGGGCGTGAGAAGCAAGCTTCGAATCGCTTTAGGTATGCCTGGCTAGTTGGGGAGTTGCAGGTTCTATGGAGAGCACGTAGTTAGGAATTTTGTATGGTGTGGACCAGGTCCTGTAACTTTATTGGAGCCCTCTATAGGGTAGGTGGTATCCTGGAGATGCAATGAGTACTATGCCCTGTACGCTACACTAGGACCTGGCTCCTAGACACTACACTGTGCACTCCACAACCTGGTCCTAGACACTGGTCCTACTGGTGTAGACTACACTCTACACAGCCACTGTACACTATAGGTGCCACCTGCTGTACCCCACAGCCTACAGTTTGAGTCCCACACTCCACATCCTACGCCCTGGGTCCCACACGCCCTAGTCCAAACCCCACGAGTTGAGACCCACAGGTTATACTCTGCACTCCACATCCTATGCTTTGGGTCCCACACGCTCTAGTCCAAATCCCACGCCCTGAAACCCACAGGCTATACTCTGCACCCCATATCCCATGTCCTGGGTCCCATATGCTCCACTCCAAATCCTAGATATTGTGGTCCTAGTCTACTGGTGTAGACTACACTCTATACAACCACTGTACACTATAGGTGCCACCTGCTGTACCCCATAGCCTACAGTTTGAATCCCACACTCCACATCCTACGCCCTGGGTCCCACACGCTCTAATCCAAATCTCACGTCCTGAAACCCACCCTATACTCTGCACCCCATATCCCATGTCCTGGGTCCCACATGCTCCAAATCCTACATATTGTGGCCCACACTCTACCCCCACATCCTAGATCCCATCCACACCACGGAGGACCAACCCGTTGTACACCCAGATTCCTATCGAGTTACACCTATGAACAATGGCGCTGCAAGTCTTTCAAGTGGCTCATATGTAGGTAACTAACAAGGTTAAATGAACGAACATAAGGAACATCTAAACTGACCAAAACCTGCCCACCCCACGAGCACCGCTTCGCAATCGAGACCGTTCGATTTCGAAGGATTTCCATTTGGAAGCCGCACAAACGCGTGTTTCCCATAAGAAAGTTCTTTGTTCAGTGTGACTCGAGTGTTAGTACTTTTCAATCGCTTGTTGAGTTTGATAAAGTCGTCCTCCCGGCGACGGGTGATCGGTGTTTATATGGTTTTTAAGATAGACACAGTTTAAGGGAATCGAGACCGGGAATGTACATCGCAGTTCAATGATATCCGAAAATGACAGCGCGTTCTATTTCGTCCACTTGTGAACTGTATTCGTTTTTAAAAAAGTATTTCAGATTTCTATTCGTATTTTCTGAAAAATTAGTTCAGACGCTGTAGTCGCTCTAGAGCCCCAATCGCAGGGAAATATCGGGATTTTACAGTAAATATTTATTTGTGCATTTATTTATCATTGTTTCTTCGCTAACTCATTCATCGTTCTTTATTTAATCCAAACTGGGATTATTTATTTTACTTATAATTGTTTAAATCGAAATGTTCGGATATCATTCATAATCGATGAGAAAAATTCGGTTAAACAAAAATGTGAGGACTATAGATCCAATAGAGGTACTCTTTCGTTAGCTGATCGTGAAATATTACGAATTTCATCTCCCCTTTGGCAGAAAACATTGCAACCTTTTTTTCGTCCACAAAATTGATTTTCATTCGAAATTTATTTTGCGATGTTTTTTGCGGTATGAAAGGTCGAATTAAATATCGTGAATCGAAGATTTTAAGGCTATACTTGCATCTTGCATTCCGTCCCCGAAAGTCGAAGTTTGAACTTATGAAACTCGTGTGCACTTCATTTACTCTCCGCTCGCATGAACACCATAAATTTCATCCGTCTTTCGTTTCAACTGAAGAGGTTTGTCCTGTTGCTGCAAATTGTTCAATTATTTCGCTACGAAGGGAATGGAAACGATAAGAGTATGTTGATGATTTAGAAATTGTACGAATAAATGTTATCGACTGTTGGAAATCGAATTGTTGTAAGAAATATCGGATGCCATTATTAAATTTTAGAAACTTGTTTATCATTTGACTCCAAAATATATTCTTCTTAAAATTGTATTTGTTATTTCTTACAACGATTGTTCCAGAATGGTTCTATTTCATAATGCAATATTTTATCTCAGTGTTGACCAATCGCGAGATTTGCATTTACTTGGTATGCATTTACGAGTACTGGACACCTTTGAAGGTATGTAATATTTCTTTTAAATAAAACAAAATTGGGACAACGATTGCCACAAAAAATTAACCGAGTCTCTGAGAAAGTAATTCTGCAACATACGAGATTTACGTTGAAATTTATTGCATGCCTTCAAAAATGTTGTACACCTGCATCCTCGAACCAGAAAAGTATATCAATGTTGAAGATCTTCATTCCAGTGTCTTAAAGAGAAGGAAGGTTTATCTAGAGAAAAGATTATTAAATTTTTCTTGAATCGGTTGAGAATAGTAATTTGCGAAAGTATATCTTCCTTAAAGATAGAAGTCGACAGATTTTCTTGTCGCTTCTTCTGTCAGTATGACACTCAAATGTTGCATTTCTACAGTCTAATAATTTTCAAAGCACCGAAAAGCATTTGAGGGAAAACGTTCCACACAGTATTCACGAATAGAGGAAGAATCGCATCAGAAAGCTCCATCTACTTATTTTTTCACTGTCCGACGTGAAGTCGCCTCGCGATAGGCTGATATTACTCACTGATATGCTTTTTGTCGACATTAATCTCATCGAGTGTATCCTGTTCCTGCTTAGAATCCTTGGATCGTCCACGATCGCGTCGAACTCGTTCGGGAAACTCGGAAAATCACCTTTCACTTTATTATCCATTCAAGTCCTGGAAATCGATTTTTCTTTTGTCTATTTTCCCTTGAGAATACCGATTTTTCCATTTCCCCATTCTTTTCCTGCAGATTTCACGTCGATTTTCCTGGGAATTTTATGTTGTCGCAATTCGAATTGCAATTTTCCAGGAAATCTATGGGGAAAACTTTTTATTTTCCACTTTTTCATTTTCCCTTTTTCTTTTTTATTGTTAAAATTGCCCGGAAAACCGAATTTTCCTGAGAAAATCAGTTTGAAAAATTATTTCCACCCTGAGGGGGATTTGAACTGACGCCCCCGCGGTGTTGAGACTAGTACGCTACCCACTCCGCCAACGCCACATTACGTAACCTTTGTGTTTTTAATTTATTTACTTCACATCTAATACCCTGTCACTCTTGTAATTTACGCGAAAGTAAACACGAAAACTGGTTAAAATAAACTGACCAATAACGAAAGTTGAAAAGTTTACGAGTTTCACGAACGAGTTGCTATGAACACTTCATGGGAATCATGATAGACTAGGATTAAGTATCAGGGATAACTATTGTGTTATTGTACGTTGTAACGCTGCATATATTATATTTCATTAATATTATACGCCACGATGTAACGAGTGCCCTACTCCTGTTAAACAAAAAAAAAGAAACTGTATATCGAATTATTAATTGTACCACTAGTGTGTAAGCTATTTCCAACTACCATGCCCAGTATTTTCTAAGTATTACGACTAACGCGGCAAGGATACGTTCGTGTTGTAAACCACTTCCGGTCCGCCATTTCACCGAACAATATTCCCTCTTCTTTGCAAATTTCTAATTAACGAAATCTACTGCCAAGAAGATACCATAAATATTATATAAAAAACAATACCTAAAATTGACCAATGAAATCTTAACTCAAATCTCGAATTTTCTACGATGGAGCGTCCTCTCTCTATATTGCCATTTTTGCTAGGGAAGTCAACCGTGCTGTACATTCGGGTGTCATAGAGATTTTATTTTAGTTTCTACACAATATAAGGGAATCTAGGTTGAATTCTTGCTGAAATTCCCCTAGAAGAAATCTCCCTAATGTCTCTAGATGTTCCATAAGGTTTATAAGCTTCCCAGGACTCCTTTTGCAGACATCTAACTTTTCAGAGCTATTTTGAAATTTTTCTAGAAGTCCCTAGATTTCTTACAGCTTTTATAAAATCGCTAGAGTCCCTAGAATTCTCTCTGTACTTTTGAGTTTTCTACACTTTCCAAAGATCTATATACTTCACCGAAACTTTTCTTAATACTTTTAAAAAGTCCCTAGACATTCCCTAGTCCTAAAAAATTTTCTAAGATCATTCTTTCGGGATTCTCAAACATTTCAAATGTCCCCAAACTGACTCGATTCTCCACACCTTTCTAAGGGTCCCCAGACTTCATAAAGTCCCCAGAATCGAGGTGACGGACCAGTTTGATTCCGTAAAATGGCGGGCCGGCAAGCGGCAGAAAAGATGACGCGAATCTCGGTAAACTCGAAGCATCGTGAGTTCGAAAGAGAACAGAATGTACAAGAGATTTCAGGAACAGTTTCGTTAAGCTATACGGTATGCCAGTGGCTATGGTTTTAGCTGTGTCTCGTGTGCCATAACACCTAACGTTTGATATGTCTAACGAGTCTAGTCCGTTTACAAGGAAACCTTTCGTACACACCCGAGCAAATGTGTTTATCTGAATTCATAGACTGCACGAAATATATATTATCTATACATACTTGGCAGGTTCATTTACCCGTGTCCCATATTCCATACTCGCGAATCTATGACGTCCTCTCTTAACATAACTACAAAATATTTTAGATTACACGGTTTAATTATTTATTCTGACTGGCTGTTTTTATCATCAAAAGAAATGTTAGATCCGAAGAATTTGAAAAATAACGTTTATTCTTGATACAACGCTCGCGATACACCCTCGGTCGATCGATAAAGCACTTGACCTGTCGGGAATATAAAAAATTCGATACAAGTACACATAAAAGCTAATCGATACAATTTACACGGTTGCATAACACACTTGCAATCAACAAACACGGTAACATATTTTCCGTCGTACCAAAAGTCGAACAAAAGGAACTAGCAAGCTTCTCAATCGAAACTGAATAATAAACTCGCCTAAAGATCAGTCACACCGGCGCAGTTACATTCTACAGTTTGTATTTGGCTCCCCTGACAATGGGGAACTTGTCTCCGGTGCAGACACCACGGAAATCATCCAAGGAGAGATCATAGATGGCAACACCACCCAGACCCTTAGCCTTAACGTAAGCAGCCTTGTTTCCAGCAGTGTCAGGATCTTCGTAACCCACCCAGATGCCGTCAGCACCGGTGCTTTCGTCATAGGGCTGATAAGCGTAGCTGCCGTACTTCTTCGAAGGATCACCCACGCGTCGCAAACGACCCACAGCGCTCTCGGTAAGTCTGGCGCACACCTCAGGGTAGGAGAGAAGTCCTGGGATGTTGGTGTGCGGCCCTTCCGCTCCGGGACCGTCGGTCACCAGGGGTGGCACTCCTGATATCTGACTGTCCGCCGTCAGTTTCCAGGTCCGGGCGTACGTTGGGATTCCCACGACGATCTTGGAGCCGGGGGTGCCGTTCTCCAGCCAGTACCTTGAAGTAGAATTTATACTTTACGGATATTTTTGATTTTGATCGGGAGGGATCTGGGATGCGGAGAAATCTTTGAGGATCTTTAGAAGGCAAGGAGAAAGTTTTGGAAGGAAGAAGCAGGGATAGGACCTAGAACCTATCTGGGACATGGACTAGGTTAAGAATGTTTTTTAGGTCTGTCTGGGTTCTAGGACCTACCAGGACCCACCTAGGATTTGGATAGATAGATGTAGGGTATCAATGTTCATGAGGTCTGTCTAGGTCCTAGGTGGGTCCTGGTGGGTTGTAGGACCTGGGCAGGCCTTATGAACATCTCAACTTAGTGTAGGTTCTAAGTGTGTCCCCAGTGGAGCCTAGGTCCTAAGTAGTCTTTATGGACGTCCCAAGCTAGTACAGGTCCTAAGTGTGTCCTAAGTGGATCCTAGGACCTAGGCAGGCCTTATAGACATCCCAGGCTAGTCTAGGTCCTAAATATGTCCTAAGTAGATCCTAGGACCTGGGCAGACTTTATGAACATCCTAACCTAGTCTAGGTCCTAAGTGTGTCTCAAGTGGAGCCTAGGTTCTAAGTAGTCTTTATGGACGTCCCAAGATAGTCTAGGTCCTAAGTGTGTCCTAAGTGGATCCTAGGACCTAGGTACACCTTATGGACTTCCCAACCTAGTCTAGATCCTAAGTGTGTCCCAAGTGGAGCCTAGGTCCTAAGTAGTCTTTATGGACTCCCCAACCTAGTATAGGTCCTAAGTGTGTCTCAAGTGGAGCCTAGGTCCTAAGTAGTCTTTATGGACGTCCCAAGCTAGTATAGGTCCTAAGTGTGTCTCAAGTGGAGCCTAGGTCCTAAGTAGTCTTTATGGACTCCCCAACCTAGTATAGGTCCTAAGTGTGTCTCAAGTGGAGCCTAGGTCCTAAGTAGTCTTTATGGACTCCCCAACCTAGTATAGGTCCTAAGTGTGTCTCAAGTGGAGCCTAGGTCCTAAGTAGTCTTTATGGACTCCCCAACCTAGTATAGGTCCTAAGTGTGTCTCAAGTGGAGCCTAGGTCCTAAGTAGTCTTTATGGACTCCCCAACCTAGTATAGGTCCTAAGTGTGTCTCAAGTGGAGCCTAGGTCCTAAGTAGTCTTTATGGACGTCCCAAGCTAGTCTAAGTCCTAAGTGTGTCCTAAGTGGATCCTAGGACCTAAGTAGACCTTGCGGACTTCCCAACCTAGTCTAAATCCTAAGTGTGTCCCCAGTGGAGCCTAGGTCCTAAGTAGTCTTTATGGACGTCCCAAGCTAGTTTAAGTCCTAAGTGTGTCCTAAGTGGATCCTAGGACCTAAGTAGACCTTGCGGACTTCCCAACCTAGTCTAAATCCTAAGTGTGTCCCCAGTGGAGCCTAGGTCCTAAGTAGTCTTTATGGACGTCCCAAGCTAGTCTAAGTCCTAAGTGTGTCCTAAGTAGATCCTAGGACCTGGGTAGACCTTATGAACACCCCAACCTAGTTCAGGTCCTAAGTGTGTCCCAAGTGGAGCCTAGTACCTGGGCAGCCCTAATGAACACCCCAACCTAGTCTAGGTCCTACAGGTAACCTACGTGCACCCTAAGACCTAGGCAGAACTTGTCAACATCCCAAACTAGTCTAAGTCCTACATGGGTCCTAGGTGAATCCTAGAAAGACCTTCTGAACATCCCAACCTACTGTAACTCCCAGATGAGTCCTCCTAAAAATATCAGTGTCTGAAGAACCTTCTCACCTGGTAGGAACATCAACATTGTCTTGCGGCACGCGACCGTAGCTGTCATAAATAGGTGCAGGGTAATCAGCCTCCTGTGGATTGCGTTCCGGTGTCTTCTGATCGAAAGTGAACAGATGTACAGCATCGATATTAGGCGCCAACAATCTAGCATCGAAGTAAACTGCAAAAAACAAACGATAACGTTACTCCCGATCATTGTACCACCCGGAACAATTCTATTCGAGCCTCAATCACAGGGAATGTCTTTCGAATTAATTCCCTATTTGTTCAAGCTCCCAGAAATTTTATAGGTTTACACATCGTGTCACAATGTTTGCGTTGCATACGACTGGCAAGAAGACACGTTACAGATCCCTCTTCCTAATCTACAGCGTTCAATATTTACAGAACGTGACGGTGATTTTGAGCCGACCGTGTATGCAGTCACGTTTATGGCGCTGCCGACACGTTCTTAATTTTCAGGCAAACAGATATGATTCATCGAATATAGAAATATTGGTTACCGCTGTTGTTGACGTGGGGAAGGACGGTGACGGTCAGGGCCTTCATTCTTGGCCGGAGCTGCGCCTTCAGGTCGCGGACCATGATGGTGAAACCGTCACGGTGCTCTTGTTCCTTGTCGTCCTTGAATTTACCGTAGCCGAAGGTCTTCTTGACTTTGTGCCATATGGATCCAAAGGTCCCTCTCTCCTTCTTTACTTTGACTGGCGGGAATTGCCATGCCAGGTCGATTCCGTCGAAGTCGTAGTCGTTGAAGAGGCGGTTCACGGAGTTGATGAATTTAGACCTGCCTTCTGATGTCTCCGTCTGAAGATGAGCGTAATATGAAGTATATAGACATAGGTTTTGTAAGGTTTTGTTAATTTTGATATTTGATACTGGGATGTGGTAGATGATAGATGACAAGCACGTAATAGTACGTGCAAGTTTGGATTGCGTTTTGAAATTTTGGGAAAATTGCAGTTTGGGGGTTTGAGAATTTGGGGACGTGGAAATTTGGGGAGATGGGAATTTGAGAATTTGGGGAATTTGGAATTTGGGAATTTGCGAGATGGGGAATTTGAGAGTTGGGGGGTTTGAGAATTTGGGAATTTGAGAGTTAGGGATTTGAGAATTTGGGGAATTTGGAATTTGGGAATTTGAGAGTTGGGGGATTTGGAATTTGGGGAACTGGGAATTTGGGAATTTGAGAGTTGGGGGATTTGGAATTTGGGAATTTGAGAGTTGGGGGATTTGAGAATTTGGGGAATTGGGAATTTGGGAATTTGAGAGTTGGGGAATTTGAGAATTTGGGAATTTGAGAGTTGGGGGATTTGGAATTTGGGGAATTGGGAATTTGGGAATTTGAGAGTTGGGGGATTTGAGAATTTGGGAATTTGAGAGTTGGGGGATTTGAGAATTTGGGAATTTGAGAGTTGGGGGATTTGAGAATTTGGGAATTTGAGAGTTGGGGGATTTGAGAATTTGGGAATTTGAGAGTTGGGGGATTTGAGAATTTGGGAATTTGAGAGTTGGGGGATTTGAGAATTTGGGAATTTGAGAGTTGGGGAATTTGAGAATTTGGGGAATTGGGAATTTGGGAATTTGAGAGTTGGGGGATTTGAGAATTTGGGAATTTGAGAGTTGGGGAATTTGAGAATTTGGGGAATTGGGAATTTGGGAATTTGAGAGTTGGGGGATTTGAGAATTTGGGAATTTGAGAGTTGAATTTGAGAGTTGGGG